CATAACTGTGGCCTGTATCGTGTTTACAAATTATAATGGACAGACGGACGGACGGACACACATGTCTAGATCGACTCAGCTAGTCGAGATGTGACGATCGGTATACTTAAAGGTGGGTCTAGGACCAATATTTCGCGGCGTTACAAACTTTTGGGGCTGCACAAAGCTATAATACCCTGACAACATAGTTGTGTAGGGTATAAAAATCTGGATGTTTGTTTCAGTTATGCGATGTTTTCAATTAAGCGGAGTTCGGTAAACTGAAAATATTTTCAGTTATCCGAACTTCTCATAAGAGAAAAATTTTTCAGTTTTAGAAATTTCAATAATCAATATTTTCGAGTTTTACGAATATAGATAGAAATTAAAACAGGTTGATATGTTCATTTCTTATACCTCCTTGCTAAATCTGTTCATAATAGATTCACATTTATACATTATTCCTATATCATCTATTCGTGAAGGCTTTAAATAATCACTTAGAGTAGTTACAAGTGGACAACCTCCTCAATGAACGGTACATTCTGTAACATATATTTATACATCCTTGATTCTTGTATAAATGTGGAACGCTGTTTTTGAGTTCCTTTCGAGTTGGGCGGATAAACTTAACGTTCTTCGACGTCAAATTTATATGTAGTTGCAGAAAAATATAATTGCAGAAAAATATCTATTAGGGTGGACTTTGCAAACTAATTCGTAATTATATTTCACCCTCATGACTTTCAGTAATGCGGAGTGATTTCAAAGGAAATTGCAATATTTGACTCCAAAAGTTATTTCAGTTATCCGATATTTTCAGTTATGCGAAGTTTCACTTATCCGGAGTAAATTGTGGGCGACTAATCTAAAATGAAATGATGCAGGAAATCTATTTCACTTATCCGATATTTTTCCGTTAAGCGACTTACAGTAAAGAGGAGTCAACTGTGGTTCAAAAATGTCTTTTATGGGTCAATTACGGATGGTAACCATAGTTTAGTTGCGTTGCCAAATTTAAATTATGGATGGCAACTGTTGTCAACTTCAGTTGTTTCAAATAGAAATTTTCGGCAACCATTTATTTCTGGTTGCTGTTTAGTTTAACTGAAATTTGTAGGCTTCCCATAATGGTTAATATTACTACAAAAGAACAATTTGAGGCCTTAATTGCCCGGATGGAAGCTCACCCAAACGTAGCACGCGACGTGCGTACCAACGCCACTATCGATGATGTGTGGAAGGCCATTTCAGAAGACCTTTACTGCTATGACCCATCAACACGCATTCCAAATGAATGATAGAGAGTGGCGAACATCTTCTTCATCCAAAAACACCCTGGAACTTTGTTTTGGAATGAAAACAAATTTTATTCTTCCCTTTTTCCTCCTCTGTTGGCCGGACAACCTCGGCCAAAACCACCGACATTGTGGGTTTAGCCATGCCAAGGTTGAAGTCATTGCTATGGGACTCTTGAAATCTTCCCTCCGCAAAAACCTCAGAGCTGCACACACTTTTAAGAGAGGAAGAATTGCTGTTGACCACCGGGCTTTTCGGAAAGCAGGATTTAAGGCATCAACTAAGTACACAATAGGGATACGTAGTCGAGAGCAAAAGTCGACTTTTAGACTTTTCGATTTGTGCCTCTCACCAAAAAGTCGATTTTTAGACTTTTCGATTTTTGCCTTTGACTAAAAAGTCGACTTTTCGATCGTTCGATTTTGTCAAAACTGTTCAAAATCGATTTTCGACTTTTACTGACTTCGGCAAAATCGACTAAAATTTGTTTTTTTTTATTTGAATTATTGTGAACAGATAATGCAAAGTTCCGGAAAGTGAAATTTTTGGGCAATTTGAGCTTTGTGATAAAAAACAAATATTTATGGAGAAAATCGAAAGTTGATCTTGTATAGTCGACTTTACGATTTTCTTATAGATCAAAAGTCGACTTCGACTTTTAGACTTTTCAATACAAAAAGTCGATTAATCGATTAGTCGAAAGTCGATTTACTTATCCCTAGTACACAACGGCATCTTTTGGTAGCCGAAAATACGCCGTCAAGCTAAAATTAGCAGTTAATTGAACATTTCTCTAATTCCACCCATCGTAATATTCCTCGCCAAAAAATCATTGATCCCATGTCCGTAGAAAAATATTCTTTAAAATACCCACTCCTGTAATGGTCTTTAGAAAAATATTGTATAAAAAACCCACTCCTGTAATGGTCCTTAGAAAAATATTGTTTAAAAAACCCACTCCTGTAATGGTCCTTAGAAAAATATTCTTCAAAAACTCCGCACCTGTTTTGGTCCACAGAAAAATATTCTTTAAAAAATCCACGCCTGTATTGGACCTTAACAAATCCACGCCTGTATTGGACCTTAACAAAACCACGCCTGTATTGGACCTTAACCTTAGGTTGGTCCTTAGAAAAATATTCTTTAAAAAATTCACGCCTGTATTGGACCTTAACAAATCCACGCCTGTATTGGACCTTAACAAAACCACGCCTGTATTGGGCCTTAACCTTAGGTTGGTCCTTAGAAAAATATTCTTTAACAAATCCACGCCTGTATTGGTCCTTAGAAAAATATTCTTTAACAAATCCACGCCTGTATTGGTCCTTAGAAAAATATTCTTTAACAAATTCACGCCTGTGTTGGTCCTTAAAAAAATATTCTTTAAAAAATCCACGCCTGTATTGGTCCTTAGAAAAATATTGTTTAAAAAATCCACACCTTGTTGGTCCTTAGAAAAATATTGTTTAAAAAATCCACACCTTGTTGGTCCTTAGAAAAATATTGGCCCTTAGAAAAATATTCTTTAACAAATCCACGCCTGTATTGGTCCTTAGAAAAATATTCTTTAACAAATCCACGCCTGTATTGGTCCTTAGAAAAATATTCTTTAACAAATCCACGCCTGTATTGGTCCTTAGAAAAATATTCTTTAACAAATCCACGCCTGTATTGGTCCTTAGAAAAATATTGTTTAAAAAATCCACGCCTTGTTGATCCTTAGAAAAATATTCTTTAAAAAATCCACGCCTCCTTGTTGGTCCTTAGAAAAATATTGTTTAAAAAATCCACGCCTCCTTGTTGGTCCTTAGAAAAATATTGTTTAAAAAATCCACGCCTCCTTGTTGGTCCGTAGACAAATATTCTTTAAAAAATCCACGCCTTGGTGGTCCTTAGAAAAATATTCTTTAACAAATCCACACCCGTAATGGTCCTTGTTGTGATTCTTTACAACCATCATCCAAAAAAAAAAGAACTTCATTGCAAAATTTGTTAAGTTGTTTCCTAGAAAAAAAAAAACTCTCCCCATCATGGATACAGTAGGTATCTGCAAATTAATTCATACTGCATAATTACCAATTTGATGTTTTTTTTTTGTAAAGCATAATTTCTACATATGACCAACTGCATGTTCATACATACATATTTTTGCAATAATTATATTTACATTTATAACATTTCCATACTACTCCTATGAAACAGTAATGCAAATAGTATTAAATAGCATTTTATTTATTGATTAATTGTTATTATATTTATTTAAGTGGTTGTATGTTTGTATGTATGCACATGTAATTACATCAGTATTTTACATATTTAAGTTGTTGATTTGGAATTCAAACAGAAAAAAAATGATTAAAATAAATCAATATTTATGTAAAGGCAAACAATGGACAGATGAACAACAACATTGACGATAAGCATAAGAGCATAAAGAATAATAATCAATAATTTAATGGAATTAATGAAAAAAAATACATGGGAAACCGACCAGTTGTTGTATGTCATTTATGTTGAAACAACAACATACATTCATGCATGCACACTTTTCGATTCCCAGCACAGGTTAAAACGACACAACGTGTATGTCCTTGTAGAATGGATTACTAGTGGTAATTGTGTCGTATTGCAGCTACTTTATTTATTTTTGGAATAAGGACAGTAACACTGGGATTTTAAGATATCTATCTTTTATTTTAACACAATTGGTTTTAACGTTTTTATGTAAAAGGTCGTTGTAATATATTGTGGATTATGGAATTTCACGTCAGAGTTGATCAAATTGGCTTTAATGAAGATACATTTTAAAATAAATGAATAAAGTGTCTGTCGGTGTTGCCAACAGATATATACCCTCAGCCTATGGTTTGCGGAGGTCTATGGAATGATACTCATGTTTTATTTCGCATTATGTGAGGTATATATTTTTATAAAACAACTGATCATATGTTGAGAGGTACCAGAAGATGTTGACCGCCATCTTCGGATTTTAAATAGGGTTGATAAAATGTTAAGATGAACAAATCGAAATCGGCACTTGAGGAAAAATCGGTTCAGATTTAGATATAGCTCCTATATATATTTCGTCCGATTTTATGTAAATGGTGCACCAAAGTCCCTATATATCATTCGATTTGCACGAAATTTGGCACAGCTTAATGAATTAGGTATAGAACAATATCGCACCACCAGTCCAAGGAGAGAGAATCAGCATTGTATGGAATGACCAGTCCGGTGTGCCTCGATATTTTGACAAAGCCGTTAAATTACTGCAACGACAGAGACCTTCAGCTAAGATTATTAGTAAATTCCACGCAAAATAATTCTAGAAAGAGATAAAGTGTGTTGTTATTAAATAAATTTGTTAGTGGTTACCTGGATTCCATTTTGACAAGAAACTCGGGGTTGAGCTCAGTCCAGGGTAGGGACCACAAGATCTCGACAGGCTTCACTTTTGAAGGCTTTGCCTTCCTTGGTTAATTTTTATAACAAACATCTTGAAAGAAAACATATTTAAAATAAATTGAGTTGGAATTTATCCAAAAAGAAAGTTGCTACGAATTACTTACCGAATGTACACACGAATTTGAAAACGATTGCTCTATAATTGAGACAGCAAGCACGAGAAAGATAATTTATCAATAATTTGATTCTCTGAAAAAAATGAATTTGGAGTAAAAGGTCTTGTAAGGTGGTAGGAATGCGGTAAGTCAACGAAAGTAATGCTAAGTTTTGGGGACGAAGATGCTATGGTGAGAAAGAATCTCGGTAGGTGGGAAGTTCCTCAGCAGGTTAGACGTCGGGTAATACCTGTTTTCGTATTTATTGGTTAGGTTCTTTAACTAAAATTGTTCGTTTCTTTTTCTTTTTATCTAAATATTCCTTCTTCTTTTCTCTTTTTCATGTTGGGAATATTTCGGGCTTCAAAAAAAACTGTCTTCTATTTGTCAAAATCCCCGTACGATCTGATTTATTGATCGCTCAGCCCTGTGGATGGCAAGAACCAACCCTAATCCGGTGAAGCTTAGCCGCGCAAAAAGCCAGCACGCAGGGAAAGCCAACCAAGGAACGAAACATATATCCTTTATACAAACTCCGGCTGTTACAAATATTAGGTTGTGCAAGAAAGGTCATATTTCCACCTTTCATATGACATTCATATTATTCAACTAAATTTTATAGATCAAAAGATATGAAACATTACATCAAAAGACACATTAAATTTTTGCAATTACATATTTGAATCATGTAATTCAATTGATGGCGCTGACGATATCAAGATTCCAGCTCTATCGTTCATCCAAATCCAAACTGGGCACCACACATTAGTACAAATTTCCAAAACTTTCCACATAGCCCAATCCTACACCCCAACAGTGATCCTTACTCCAAATTTGAGGATCTCAGCTCTGTCAGTTTACCCAAAATTCCAATTGCACCAAATTTACTACATATAAGTATGAATTTCCAAAACTACATCGATCCTACACTCCAACAGTAACCTTATTTTCAAATTTGAGGTTTGGTCCCCGGAATTGCAGCCACATTAGATGCCTTTTTATGGGATCTCCTTCTAGCCGACATGGACATACTTATGTCGGTTTTCCCAATGGCATATGGTGTTAAGGATTTCAGGGACCTCCTTGAAGGCCCTGATTGATAGGAAGGCCCTGGTATGATTTTCTATTTTGTGCTCTGGTTACTAAAGATCCGATGTTGGGTTAACTAGCGGCACCTTTAGATCATTCGATCAAGAAATCCCTGACTGCAACATCATGTTCCCTAAGTTCCCTAAGAACTTCCAAATAATTTCGTTATTAATTAGTAAAGGCGACAATTTCTTCCGAAACTCTTCCCCGCTGACTGGTCGCGATGGCATATGTAGATTCACAGCTACCCAATGAATGTTATTGGGCTTTACATTATCCACAACATGTGGACGAGTACGGTATCATTGAGTTATGTTCCCTGTATCCAGAACAGGGCTAAAAGAAGACCACGTGGTATGCTATGTAAGTAAGTAGTACACGAATACCTTTCTGGCCATCGACAAGGAAATATTCCTGGTCCTCAGGAAATCATACTGGACTTACATATGAAGATCTGCTGGTATTAATTAATAAATACTTCTGATCTTCCATAAATAAACTTTCTGCCCTTCTAAAGGAAGACCTTCTGGACCACTGTGAAGAAGACTTTCCGATTATCTATAAAGAAGACATTCTGGTATTCAATGAAAAATACATTCAGGTCTTCTATGATGAATACTTATTGGTCTTCTATGAAAAAAATCTTTTGGTCTTCTATGAAAAAGCCAAGAAAAACAGATTTTTTCTAAAAAAAGACATATAAGAAGTGTTCGTTATCTATGAAGAATACCTTCTGGTCCTCTATGAAGACATGTGGATCCACTACGAAGAAGATTTTCCAATCTTCTATAAATAAGTCCTTCTGGTCCCTATGACGACGACTTTCCGATTTTCTAAAGAAAGGCCTTCTGGTCTTCTATGGAGAAAATCTTCTGCTCCTCTATGAATAAGACCTTCTGTACTTCTATGAAGAAGATTTTCCGATTTTCTATAAAGAAGACATTCAGATCTTCTATGAAAAATGCCTTCAAGTCTTCTATGAACAATACCTCTTGGTCTTAATATCAATACCTTATTGTCTTCTATGAAGAGGAGAAGGTCGGATTCTTCATAGAAGAGAGATCTTTTGATCTTTTATGAAAATAAAAGAAGAGAGATCTTTTTATAGAAAGAAGATATTCTCTAAAAAACAAATCCACAATATCTTATACAAGAAGGACAGACGATTTTTTATATAAGTCTAGAATATCTTTCTATAAATGTTGACACATCCTCCTACACCCAATAGAGGACCGTTTTCTTTCAATGTTGCGTACTGACTTATTCACAATCTCTTTTATATAACATATCCATGTGAACCCTATTATTTTCTTCTTTGTGTATATATGTATGTGTGTATATTTAATAAATGTAATACTTTAGCATGTTGCATTTTTAACTTCTGCACTTTCTTGTAGTTCTTACATAATATATAATATATAGCTTATAGAAATGCTAACAAAAAAAAACTATATATTTCCATACCGCAATATAATCCGCATAGTGTTTGAGAATTCGCAATAGGAATAATAAAAAAACCTGGATTTCTTGTTTGACGTATAAAATGTTCCCTATTTCGATTGTTTTTCGATTTTCCATATGGTTTATTTATTGTGTGTATTTGCAGCTGCATCTGAATGTTCCAATGAACGCTTGAAACCGTACAATGGTTCGTGTTATTTATTTGTTTCATATCCGGAAGTTGATTGGAATACAGCCCAGCAGGTGTGTCGAGCTATGGGTGCCTCGTTGACCTCGGTGTCGTCGGCAGATGAACACAGGTGAGTGATGCAATGAAATGAACTACAGTTTTGTTTTTCGTCTTCGAAATCACTTTGAAATTGAAGTGGATTTTTATGATACACATGTGGAATAGAGCTGGGATATGGGCAGTAAATTTGATTGTTAAACAACAAATCGTGAATAGTTTTAAGAGGAAATAAATACAACTACAAATTAAAATATCGTTCCTACTGAGTTTAAATCATGTTTTATCACAAAATATATTTCATAATAACCAAATTTTTACTGTCTTTTTCTCTTTCATATTTTTTTTTTCATTCCTCCGTGTAAACGTTGCAATGCCTACGTATGTTTGTGTGTGTTTGATGACCTCTAAAATATGCCTTGCTAACAAATTTAGATTTATCACATCCAATATCCGCAATCAAATCGATTACTCACCACAATTGATTTATTGGTTGGGTGCCGAATTGGAGAAAAATCGCCAATTCGAATGGACGGATGACACAGCGATGACATTTCAGGTAAGTTCTGCTATCGATTACATTTAAATGAACTCGAAACTAAAAGTAATAAAATCGAATAAAGAATATGAAAACTTAAATATTGAACGACAATGTGGCTAAATTTTTGATTTGTAAAATCCCTGTGGTCAAAAATTTCCATTTTTAGAATTTATTAATTAAAGGTGGGAAATATAATCTTTAAACAAATCAACGACGTGGCGCGAACTTATTCAATATTCCTTACAAAATCGACGACTTTTGTTGGTCCTTGAAATCCAAGCCTTGTTGGAAGTTAGAAAAATAATCTGTAAAAAATCCACGTCTGTGAGGGTCCTTAAAAAAATAATCTGTAAAAAATCCACGTCTGTGAGGGTCCTTAAAAAAATAATCTGTAAAAAATCCACGTCTGTGAGGGTCCTTAGAAAAATAATCTGTAAAAAATCCACGTCTGTGAGGGTCCTTAGAAAAATAATCTGTAAAAAATCCACGTCTGTGAGGGTCCTTATAAAAATAATCTGTAAAAAATCCACGACTGTGAGGGTCCTTAGAAAAATAATCTGTAAAAAGTCCACGTCTGTGAGGGTCCTTAGAAAAATAATCTGTAAAAAATCCACGACTGTGAGGGTCCTTAGAAAAATTTTCTTTAAAAAATCCACTTCCGTGGTGGTCCTAAGAAAAATAATCTGTAAAAAATCCACGTCTGTGAAGGTCCTTAGAAAAATAATCTGCAAAAAATCCACGACTGTGAGGGTACTTAGAAAAATGTTCTTAAAAAATCCACGTCCTTGGTGGTCCTAAGAAAAATATTCTATAAAAAATCCACGCCTCGTTGGTCCTATAAAAAATATTCTTTAAAAAATCCACGCCTCGTTGGTCCTCAGAAAAATATTCTATAAAAAATCCATACCTCGATGGTCCTTAAAAAAATATTCTTTAAAAAATCCACGCCTTGTTGGTCCCTGAAAAATATTCCTTACAAAATCCATGCCTTTTGTCGGTCCTTGACAAAATATTCGGCTTAACTCTAGTTTAGTAAAAACGATCAGATTTTTCTGAACAATTTTCCAGAGGTATGTATTTTTACCCTTATTATGGGGATATAATTTTTTTTTTGGGACGTACCCGGTTACCCGGGTACATCCGGTTCTACGGATCCGGTTGATATAACATGGGTAACATTTTAAAGGTTATAAAAATACCTTTCCATTGAGTGGTAATATGATTATCGCAAACCATTTTGGAGAAATAGTCAAAAAACTGGGTTTTGGTCCCCATTTTTTTGAAAAACTCCCTAAAAGTCGAACATGGTTCCATTATAGTCCCTCTTTTCTTAAAAAAATCTTTTGTTGGGAAAATATTCCTTAAAAAATCCATGACTTTTGTTGGTCCTTGAAAAATATTCCTTAAAAAATACACGGCTTTTGTTGGTCCTTGAAAAATATTCCTAACAAAAACCGCTTGGTCCTTGAAAAATATGGTTTAAAAATTCTTTAAAATCCACGACTTTTTTTCTTTAAAATTTCTTTAAAAAATATATTTAAAAAATTCTTAGAAAAATATTTTTTAAAAAATCTACGCCTTGATGGTCCTTAGAAAAATCTGCGCCTTGTTGGTCCTTAGAAAAATATTCTTTAAAAAATCTGCGCCGTGTTGGTCCTTAGAAAAATATTCTTTAAAAAATCTGCACCTTGTTGGTTCTTAGAAAAATATTCTTTAAAAAATCTGCGCCTTGTTTGTCCTTAGAAAAATATTCTTTAAAATATCACACCTTGCATTGGTGTTTAAAAAATATTTTAAAAAAATACAAGGCGTGGCCTTGTATTGGTGGTCAAACACGAATGTACTTATATAACGTGATCTCCTCTACATACAAAAATATTTCGATGTTGTAATTTTTTCACGTTTTTTCTTGTTTCATTATTTTTCCACAGGGTTGGCTACCTGGTCAGGGTCAGTTCGATAGCCTGCCAACTGATGCAATGTGCTTGGGCTTACAATGGAAAATGTCACCCACACCAATGCTGCCGTCCGGTCTGTATTGGCAATCACAAAAATGTAGTAAAGTTGGTGGCTATGTGTGCAAGAAACCGAAGGAACCGTTTGGAAGTTTGGCTTTCAGCAATTTCACAATAACTGGAACGGAAGGACGTCTTGTGTCACCAGGTAAGTTCATATATTTATTTTCCACAAACACACACATAGACCTTAAAAAGCTTATATAGTGCTGATAGTGCTGTGTGTCAATGGCATTTCCTAAAGATGGATTACCTCCATACAGACGGACGGACACTAAACCACAAATCACGTAACCTGTCTCTTCGTATATGTGTGTATTGTGATTGATTTTATGTTGGAAGGTCAGACATACAGACACATATCTAAACATACGTATGTGTATGTATGCTTTTGAATTTAACCTCATTGCTATTTCAATATAAATACTAAATCCTCTAATGCATAGCCTCTGTATTGCACAGCCTCTGTGTTTGTCTGTAGTTGTTTGGACAAAATGCGATGTTGATTTTATCTAAAATGTGGGTTTTGTTAAATGACCACATTGGGATGAAGGATATTTAGGATTTGGAAATGACAACAATGACGTTAATGCATACAGTTTTGGTTTTGATTATTTTCACAGATTGACAAATGTTACATTCAAGTGGAGAAAACATTTCGAATTACAAGGAATAATATTCCTTGTTGAAATATCCTTTAAAAATCCACGCCTGTAGAGCTAATATTCCTTGTTGAAATATCCTTTAAAAATCCACGCCTGTAGAGCTAATTTTCCTTGTTGAAATATCCTTTAAAAATCCACGCCTGTAGAGCTAATTTTCCTTGTTGAAATATCCTTTAAAAATCCACGCCTGTAGAGCTAATTTTCCTTGTTGAAATATCCTTTAAAAATCCACGCCTGTAGTCTAATTGTCCTTGTTGAAAATATCCTTTAAAAATCCACGCCATTAGTCTTGATTGTCGTTGAGAAAATATCCTTTAAAAATCCACGCCTGTAGAGCTAATTTTCCTTGTTGAAATATCCTTTTAAAAATCCACGCCTGTAGAGCTAATATTCCTTGTTGAAATATCCTTTAAAAATCCACGCCTGTAGAGCTAATTTTCCTTGTTGAAATATCCTTTAAAAATCCACGCCTGTAGAGCTAATTTTCCTTGTTGAAATATCCTTTTAAAAATCCACGCCTGTAGAGCTAATATTCCTTGTTGAAATATCCTTTAAAAATCCACGCCTGTAGAGCTAATTTTCCTTGTTGAAATATCCTTTAAAAATCCACGCCTGTAGAGCTAATTTTCCTTGTTGAAATATCCTTTTAAAAATCCACGCCTGTAGAGCTAATATTCCTTGTTGAAATATCCTTTTAAAAATCCGCGCCTCTAGAGCTAATATTCCTTGTTGAAATATCCTTTTAAAAATCCACGCCTCTAGAGCTAATATTCCTTGTTGAAATATCCTTTTAAAAATCCACGCCTCTAAAGCTAATATTCCTTGTTGAGCTAATATTCCTTGTTGAAATATCCTTTTAAAAATCCACGCCTCTAGAGCTAATATTCCTTGTTGAAATATCCTTTAAAAATCCACGCCTCTAGAGCTAATATTCCTTGTTGAAATATCCTTTTAAAAATCCACGCCTCTAGAGCTAATATTCCTTGTTGAAAAATCCTTTAAAAATCCACGCCTCTAGAGCTAATATTCCTTGTTGAAATATCCTTTAAAAATCCACGCCTCTAGAGCTAATATTCCTTGTTGAGCTAATATCCTTTAAAAATCCACGCCTCTAGAGCTAATATTCCTTGTTGAGCTAATATTCCTTGTTGAAATATCCTTTTAAAAATCCACGCCTCTAGAGCTAATATTCCTTGTTGAAATATCCTTTTAAAAATCCACGCCTCTAGAGCTAATATTCCTTGTTGAAATATCCTTTTAAAAATCCACGCCTCTAGAGCTAATATTCCTTGTTGAAATATCCTTTTAAAAATCCACGCCTCCAGAGCTAATATTCCTTGTTGAAATATCCTTTTAAAAATCCACGCCTCTAGAGCTAATATTCCTTGTTGAAATATCCTTTTAAAAATCCACGCCTCTAGAGCTGATATTCCTTGTTGAAATATCCTTTTAAAAATCCACGCCTCAAGAGCTAATATTCCTTGTTGAAATATCCTTTTAAAAATCCACGCCTCTAGAGCTGATATTCCTTGTTGAAATATCCTTTTAAAAATCCACGCCTCTAGAGCTAATATTCCGTGTTGAAATATGCTTTTAAAAATCCACGCCTCTAGAGCTAATATTCCTTGTTGAAATATCCTTTAAAAATCCACGCCTCTAGAGCAATATTCCTTGTTGAAATATCCTTTAAAAATCCACGCCTCTAGAGCTAATATTCCTTGTTGAAATATCCTTTAAAAATAGGTCCTTTTAGACCTGATAATTCTTTTTGCACAATTCTTCAAAATCCTCTTTTAGAGAGGATAGCCTTTTTAAAATCATTATGTACACATGTAATCGATATGTCCTCTCTCTTTCTCTCTACTTTCATTAAATGTATAATCCACTAATTTATCATTTTGTGTGTATGTGTGCCTCTTCTCAATTTCAGCCTATCCGAATACCTATCCCTTGAATATAAACTATTGGGTGCATATAAAAGCACCGGAGCGTACCCGGATTATTGTTCAATTTCAAAAAATCGATTTAGAGTCGCAAGATGAATGCCTTTACGACTTCGTAAGCATACAGGATTATGACATTGTATCGAAAATACAGTTGGAACCGGGTGCCAATACCGTGCCAATGGCCATGTTAATGTCACACGAACAATTTGCAGCTTACGAAGGCGACAACAAAGGCAACAATGGTCAAGTTGGCGATGACGATGAAGATGCTGCTGCGGATGGTGATTTTATTCCCAATGGAGGTGGTGGTGATGTTGTTGCCGCTAATACAGACACTGATGATATAACAACCACTGCTCTTGAGGATGCCAATGAGGATAATAATAGTGGTGAGATGACCAGTGGTGATGATGACTACAATGGTGTCGATAATGAAACCACACTAAGGAATGATAAGAGAATACAACAGCAGCAACGCGATAAACGAAGATTACGAAGAAGCATTGGAAAAAGCATTCACACAAAAGGATACACTGCCAAACTGCAAGGACACAACCAATTTTATTATGGAGGCCATGCAGAAAGCAAACTAACTCAGCATGGACAGAAGGCAGTACAATTTCACCAGCGAAATACTGACAGGCTCCATGCAAAAGGAAATTCACGAAAAGTGTCAAAAAATCCTTTCAATAGCAATGACATCTCCGCTGACCGAGACAACAGGAAAAAACATCGCATAACTCGTAAAAAGACGAATGTCAACCAACAGCGAATGCATCATGCGGCGAATTTTTTTCATCTACCTCTTCGTCATAAACGGAAAGCAATAAAAAAGCACAGCAATAATAACAATGGCGCCTTTGGTCGCCGTCAACGACGTAGCACAATAGTCGGGGATATGTCGGCTCCAACAACAGACAATGCCCAAACCTTTCTGCCCTATGTACGCTGGTGTGGTACCCACGATTCGAATATGTCCAAATTTGACTTTGTAGCCAGTGGCAATGAAATCATGTTGAACTTTCACAGTGACTATTCGATGGCGAGTATGGGGTTTGCTGCCATCTGGAAAGCAATCGATGTTTCCGGTTGCCCGTTGCGTACGCTCACCTCACGTGAGGGTACCATATCGAGTCCAAATTATCCGTATTTTTTGCTGAACAATCTTAATTGTGCCTTTGTTATACAAGCGCCGTTGGGCAAGCGAGTGTGGTTGGAAATCAAGGAATACGATTTCCTGCAGGATGCAATGTTGGAAGTGGACTTAGGTAATGGTGTCTTTCGCCCGTTTCAAAATGCTGATCATGTAAACGATGGAATGTTTGTTAGCTTGCGGGAGCAGTTGCGGGTACAATTTCGTACGGGACAACATCCGCGAGGGAGAGGATTTCAGGCGATATATCACACGGGTAAGTTGTATATGAATAAATACTCTTGAAAAAATTACAAATTTAAATCTCCCAGCTTATAAGACTGCATGTCATTGTGAAAATATTCTGTAAAAATCCGCGACTTTTAGACCGAAGGTCCTTGTGAAAATCCACGACTTTTAGACCGAATGTCCTTGTTAAAATATTCTGTAAAAATCCACGCCTTTTAGACAGAATGTCCTTGTTAAAATATTCTGTAAAAATCCACGCCTTTTAGACAGAATGTCCTTGTTAGAATATTCTTTAAAAATCCACGCCTTTTAGACAGAATGTCCTTGTGAAAATATTCTTTAAAAATCCACGCCTTTTGGACAGAATGTCCTTGTGAAAATATTCTTTAAAAATCCACGCCTTTTGGACAGAATGTCCTTGTGAAAATATTCTTTAAAACTCCACGCCTTTTAGACAGAATGTCCTTGTTAGAATATTCTTTAAAAATCCACGACTTTTAGACAGAATGTCCTTGTTAGAATATTCTTTAAAACTCCACGCCTTTTAGACAGAATGTCCTTTTTAGAATATTCTTTAAAAATCCACGCCTTTTAGACAGTATGTCCTTGTAAGAAAATTCTTTAAAAATCCACGCCTTTTAGACAGAATGTCCTTGTTAAAATATTCTTTGAAAATCCACGCCTTTTAGACTGAATGTCCTTGTTAAAATATTTTTTAAAAATCCACGCCTTTTAGACAGAATGTCCTTGTTAGAATATTCTTTAAAAATCCACGCCTTTTAGACAGAATGTCCTTGTTAGAATATTCTTTAAAAATCCACGCCTTTTAGACAGAATGTCCTTGTTAGAATATTCTTTAAAAATCCACGCCTTTTAGACAGAATGTCCTCGTTAAAATATTTTTAAAAATCCACGCCTTCTAGATATGCTCGAAAAAAATATTTTTAAAAATCCACGCCTTTTAGATATGCTCGAAAAAAATATTTTTAAAAATCCACGCCTTTTAGACAGAATGTCCTTGTTAGAATATTCTTTAAAAATCCACGCCTTTTAGACAGAATGTCCTTGTTAGAATATTCTTTAAAAATCCACGCCTTTTAGACAGAATGTCCTTGTTAGAATATTCTTTAAAAATCCACGCCTTTTAGACAGAATGTCCTTGTTAGAATATTCTTTAAAAATCCACGCCTTTTAGACAGAATGTCCTTGTTAGAATATTCTTTAAAAATCCACGCCTTTTAGACAGAATGTCCTTGTTAGAATATTCTTTAAAAATCCACGCCTTTTAGACAGAATGTCCTTGTTAGAATATTCTTTAAAAATCCACGCCTTTTAGACAGAATGTCCTTGTTAGAATATTCTTTAAAAATCCACGCCTCAATAGCTGATAGTCCTTGTTAAAATTTTAGATTACATGTCCTCGCCTTTAGAGCTGATAATCCTTGTCATTTAAAATCTACGTTTGTAGTCCTTAAAAATATTGCATATATGTTCATATGTATGTACATATTTATATTTCATGTTTAAACATGCATTTCATTACTACCTTAAATTCAAAGTTTACCCTTCAAGTTCCGTTTTTTTTCACATTCCAAGGACCATTAATAATTCATGCGCGCAAATTTATCACCACTTCATGTTGAAAAACGTTTCTTCCATATTCTCCTCCTCTTTTTGTTGCCGATGTTGTTGTTGTTGTTGTGACTTTATTCAACTTCTTTTTTCTTTCATTTGCAGTTGGTCAAATGGAAAAGCGTGAACGCGTCATCAAGTTGACCACCAATGACACCGGTCATCTTTATCAGCTCAACTATCCGCACGATATGCCAGAAAATGTCGACTTCACACAGCATCTAGTGGCACCATTTGGCCATAACATCCTCTTGGAATTGCATGATGTGGAATTTTCTGAGAATGGATGTCCGGACAACAACATAATAGAGGTATGTATCGATGTGTGTGTATGCATGTATGTCGGTGCGTGTGTGTGTGTGTATGTCATGTCATACATAAAGTTTATGTTTACAAAGGTGATAACCAGCAGCAGGAGCAGTGAGAAGACCTAGAATAGCGAAGGAACTGCCTGAAATAGTGTGACATCAAACATTCATTGTTGGTGTTGGTGTTGGTGTTGTTGTTGTTTGTTACTGTAGATGAATGAATTCCAAAGTGACTATGCGTGTTGTTCGTAAATTTACAATTTATGAATATTTGCGTGTGTGTGTGAGTGTGTGTTCGCCCAAATGAATTACTTATGTTCAGGTTGAGGTTTGGAAGTTTGTTGCTGGGCAACTATGGGTGGATGAATATATGTATGGGAATATTGTGAAATGTTGTACAAATTCATAATGGAATATTTATGGCGACAGTGTGTATTGTTCAGTTTGTAATGAAAACAACAACACATTCGTACATATAAAATAATTTATATCTTTTAGATGAGGTGAAATGCATAAATAGAATTTATGCATGTAGAATGGCGGAAAGTTAATGTTTAAATGTTATTACAACACTTCTGATATCATTCTGAAGACAAAAAAATTTAGCCAATGTTTATAATATGGGGGTGAAATAGAAATTAATATGGGGATTTTTTTCAATAGAATTAGTTTAATTAGTTTTCTATACAGGAACAGAGGTTCCAGGAATTTTTTCTTAGGAAAAAAACAGATAAAGAATAAGAGAGAATCTTTTTTAGAAAAAACAGATTCCAGTAATTTGTTTCTGTAGCAAACTGAGGACCCAGGAATTTTATATAAAAAAAAATTGTAGTTCCAGGAATTTTTTCTATCGAAAACCGGAACTGACAATCCTGAAACTTTTTTGTTTTAAAAAATAAGAACAGATCTAGATTTCTTTCTATAGGAAAATATTGGAACTGAGGTTCTCCCCCTTTTCTTTAAAAACCAGTAAGGAAAGTAGTAAAGTCGGATCATAAATGCGACCTGTACTTTGTTTACAATTTAACATCTACAGACGGACAGACGGGCGGACATACATAAATCGACTCAGAAAGTGATTCCAATTTTTTTATAAAAAAATAGGAACATGGGTATCAAATTTTTTTCTATAAAAAAAATACAAGAACTGAGGTTCCAAAAACTTTTTCTATAGAAAAAATAGGAACTGTGGTTCCAATTTTTATACCCTGTGGTACAGGTTATAATGTCATTGTGCATATGTTTGTAACAGGTAAAAGGAAACGAGATAGACACATGGTTACTTTTGAGAATATGTGTAGAACCACTTTCTGAGTCGATTTATGCATCTCCGTCTGTCCGCCCGTCCATGTATTTTTGTTAACAAAGTACAGGTCGCATTTATGATCCGATTTGGATGAAATTTGGAACAAGTCACTTATTTTGCCCAAGGACGAACCCTATTGAAATTGGGAAAAAATTGGTTCAGATTTAGATATAGCTCCCATATATATTTTCGTCCGATTTAAGGTAAATGGTGTACCATAGTCTCTATATAACTTTCGATTTGCACGAAATTTGGCATAGATAACTGACTTAGGTCCAGAATGATGTGTGCCAAGTATCGAGAAAATAGGTTCAGATTCAGTTATAGCTCCCATATATACTTTCGTCCGATTAAAGGTAAATGGTGCACCAATGTCCCTATATACCCTTCGATTTACAAGAAATTTGGCGTAGCGTACTGAATAAAGTCTGGAATGATGTGTGTTAAGATTCGCGAAAATCCGTTCAGGTTTAGATATAGCTCCCATATATTTTTCCTTTCGATTTAATGTAAATGCTGCCCCAGAGTCCCTAAATATCGTTCGGTATGCACGAAATTTGGCATAGCATATTAAATTAAGTCTACAGTAATGTATACTAAGTTTCGTGGAAATCGGTTCGGATTTAGATATTGCTCGCATATATATTTTCGTCCGATTTAATGTAAATGGTGTACCAAAGTCCCTATATATTTTTCGATTTGCATAGCGTACTGGATTGACTCTATAATGATGTGTGCTAAGTTTCGTGAAAAACGGTTCAGATTTAGATATAAGTCCCATGTGTATTTTAGTTCGTTTTAGTAGAAATGGTGCACCAAAGTTCTTATATATCTTTCATTCAATTTCTTGTCTTCTTTGGATATATGTAGAATATACCCAAAGTGGTGAAGGAAATCATATAGTCGGCCCAGTCCCACTTTACTATTTTTCTTACTGGTTTTCTCTAGAAAAAAAGGAACTGAAGTTCCAAATTTTTTTTCTATAGGAAAAATACTGGAAATGTGGTTCCAAAATTTTTGTCTGTAGAAAAAACAGAAACTAATTTTTATTTAGAAAAAAAAATTCTATAGAAAAAAATAGGAAAATACGATGCAACATTTTCTCTAGAGTAAAACCAGAAACTTAGATTTTCTATAGAAAAACGGAAATTCCAGTAATTTTGTTCTATATAAAAATAGGGAATGTTGTTTAGGAATTATTTTCTAAAAAAACAGTACCTGAGGTTCTAGGATTTTTGTTCCTATAAAAAGGATCTGGGGTTACAGACATTCTTTTCCATATAAAAATGGAAGTTCCTATTAACTCTTAGGTTTTCCGGGTGCCAAATGCGACAAATGTGCATGCGGAGAAAGCTACCGAGAAATGGTCTTTGGGATCATTTACATGAATCAGCAAAGACACTACTGTGTTGGTGATCGGACGGAGTTATTTGATAAACTGTGCTTAACCCTTTCAGTGTTTTTGTCCAATATATTCGACATTTTAAAGTACTCTCTCTCTCTCTTTGTGATTTTTCGGTTATCCTATGTACCGTTACTATTGTTGTTTTCGTTTTTGCTGAAAGACAGACAAAACTGGCCGAGGGTTAAAATGACAATTGCCATTTTTTCTATAATATATACCTTTATATGATTTTAAATACAAAATTTTAGATTTTTATTCCGACAATTTTTTTTTACATTGAAGGGTTAAAATACAAGTCTTAGTACAAAAAAACCACGAGTAAAAGACAAATTTTGGATTTCTATTCTTTTATTGAAATTAAAAATGTTTGCGAATTTTTTTACAATACTTATCATCATTTATTAATTTTCTATTAAAAAATTTGAAATTTCCTTATTCCCCTTATCTTACAATTAGATTAGCTTTATATTTAAAAATATTATCATTTCAATTTAATTAATGTTTGCCACAAATTTTACAATTCATAATGTGTGTGTATATATTTAAAAATCATCATCCACTCGTCTTCTTCTTTTAATTTCAGGTTTATGATAATTATGCCGACAATAACGGCACCAAATGGCAACTATGTAAATTTCAATATGCAAATGTCCACACCGGCAGTCCCATTGAGGATAGCTATTTAACCACCAACTATCATATGCAACAGCCTGACTATTACCAGGGTGGTGCGGGCGGCGGCGGCAGCAGCAGCAGTAGTAGTACCAGTGCTAATGATTTCCATCTCAACAATGATGTAGTGCTTGATAGTCATCTGTTGGTAGCTGCTGCAAATGGCAATGGTCACATGGAGACAACCTCCCCATGGGCATCAACGACAGATGTTGCCGAATTTTTACTACGTCAACAACAGCTGCAGCAACAGTTGTACTATAGCCGGCCGACATCTCCGCCTCCGGTGTATATAACCTCTTACCTGAATACCTTGTATATACGTCAGCGTACCACTGCCAAAGCTATTGCGAATCTTAATTGTACTGTACGCTTGCAATGGGGTAAGTTTCGGGAGGGGCAGGTGGAGAATATTCAATTTTATTGTCTTTTTTTCTGTTCTTGCTGTGAGAAATAAAACACATGGACACTGTATGAGACAGCTTCATCTGGTTTTTTTTCAGAGATGGAAAATGTCAACATGGCAATCGTTGCTTTGGATTTGGACGAGTGTGTGTGTGGGGGTGTTTTTGTGTACCTGAGGACATTTTAAGTTTGGGCCACTGAATAAATTAACTTTACCGGTCCATGTTTACTGAGAAATGTTCATTTTCCATTTCCATAGCTAGCTTTGTTCTTTTGCTTTCGACCTGGTTGTGTCATTTATGAGTTTGTTGCAATTCGTATGTGTGGCCTTTTACAGTGTCACTTAGTGATGGTTACTGGAGATTTATGTCAGGAATTGAAGACGGAATCAACGACAATAACAACTGAATTGAAATTGATAGAATAACACATATGTATGTATGTATTCTAGCTTCCGAATCCTAAAAAGTATGTATGTTTCCAGCTTTTTAGCAAATGAGGGTAGGGATAATAAATGTTACCTGCAAATTGCCTAGAAAAATATATGATCAGTCAGGGGGACAGACATGCATAAATCTCTACAGAAAACAAGTAAAAAAGTGCAGCGAGATATAAGTGTGGTAATTTTTAGTTTTGAAAAAAATAATATTTCTTAACTGAATTGGGAAAGAACTATGGATAGTTTGAAAACTTATAATTGAAGTAATAACCAGTAAGGAAAGTAGTAAAATCAGACGGCCCGACTATATGCAACCCTTCACCACTATGCATTTTTGAAAGACCACTGGCCTCAAATTGAACCTATTAAATGTGTATTTTTATCTATATATGAACCGACTTAAGTCAATCGACATATATACCATTCTGCAACCTGATCTACATTTCATGTCAAACGGACAGATTCACATTGTTGTGTACAATGGAATAACAAAATCGGCAATTGGCAATATTTTGTGTCTTTGATATACCATTTACATTAAATGGGACGAAAATATATATCAGAGCTATATCTAAATCTGAACCGATTTTCACGAAACGTAGCAAATATCATTCTGGACTCAGTTCAGTACTCTATGCCAAATTTAGGGCAAATCAAAAGATATTATATATAGGCACTTTAATCGGACGAATATATATTTGGGAGCTATATCTAAATGTAAAACTCAACACACATCATTCTAGACTTAATTTAGTATGCTGTATCAAATTTCGTGCAAATCGAAATATATATAAGGACTTTGGTGATCCTTTTACATTAAATCGGACGAAAATAGATATGGGAGCTATAAATCCGAGCCGATTTTCACGAAACTTAACAGATAATATTCTAGACCCAATTCAGTACGCTATGCCTAATTTCGTGTAAATCGGACGAATAATATGGGAGCTATATATAAATCCGAACCGATTTTTTCCAATTTCAATTGGGTTCGTTCTTGGGCCAAATAAATAACTTTTTCTACAGTTTTGACAATATTGTAGGGGAGGTAGGACCGATATTCGCCATATTCGAACTTGAACTTAGTTTGGAAGAAATATAACGATGTGCTACTCGGCTACTCCCTTCGAGAGATATCATGCGCACCCGTTTCCAAATTTTCTGAAACTGATTTGGCCCAAAGAAACATGGTGTCTGTTTATCAATACTACAGACGGAAAGGACTTTCCAATTACCAAAAAATACGGGCGATTTTTATAACCTTCGATTTATACATGTCCGTCCGTCTGTCTGTCCATGTTAAATTATAAACAAAGTACAGGTCGCATTTTTGATTCGAATTAGATGAAATTTGGCACAGCTCATATATTTGGCCCAAAGACGAACCCTATTGAAATTGGGATAAATCGGTTCAGATATAAATACAATATATATTTTCGTCCGATTTAAGGTAAATGGTGCACCAAAGTACCTATATATCTTTCGATTTGCACGATATTTGGCAAAGCGTACTGAATTAAGACTAGAATGATGTGTGCTAAGTTTTTCAGATTCAGATATATCTCCCATACATATTTTCGTCCGATTTTATGTAAATGGTGTACCAAAGTCCCTATATATCTTTCGATTTGAACGAAATTTGGCACAGCCTGCTGAATTAAGTCTACATTGATGTGTGCTAAGTTTCGTGAAAATCGGTTTAGATTTAGATATAGCTCCTATATATATTTTCGTGCGATTTTATGTAAATGATGCATCAAAGTCCCTATATATCCTTCGACTTGCACGAACTTTGAATTTATAAGTAAATGAAGAACTCAAAATGTGGCCGAATGCACAAAACATACTGAAATAAGTGTAACCTATCATGTGACAAGTTTCGATGAAATCGGTTTAGATTTCGATATTTTGCTTTAAATTTATTGACATAAGAAGCAACTCTATATCTGACCGAAATTTAATATTGGTTGCAGTATGACATGTTTAATTTCATGTTAATGGTCCTTCAAAAATGCGACGTCTGTTAGGATTCCATCTGTTGAATATACCCAAAATGGTGAAGGGTATCATATAGTCGGCCCGTCCGACTTTACTACTTTCCTTACTGGTTTTAAATGAACTGTGGAAAACATTCTTCGAATAGGTCATTTATTCTTTGAATCCAAAAAGGCATATTTAAAGCTCAAACTATAACCATTAATATATCTAAAAATTAGGGGACATTTGTATAGGGAATATGTCAAAACTTAGATCTAGAATGTTTTGCGAAAAAAATGTATTCCCTCAAAAATCGATGTACTGCCACTTCGCTTAAAACTGCTACTAGAACCTTCAATACAGTATTGCCAATGTATGGAAATAAATACTACGATGTCTCTCGCCCACGTAGAAAACGAAATGTAGGATTTTATACCCAACAAGCACCCGGAATATAAAATTACTGTATCTTCGACCTAGGACCAAATGATAACAGCTAAAATGGGATGGAACTTATATGTGGGGACTAAGTCATGTTCAAATACTCTGAAATTTCTAATTACATCGGGTTTGAAATTTCTCCTTGAACCATGAAATATGTACCACCCACAAACACCTGGCAATGCGACGAGAACCAAAAATGTGGCAACACCAAATATCAATTGTTTCATATTAGAATCAGTTTTGACAGACAATTTATAATATAGGTTCATATTTGGACATAGGTACCAGCCGATGTTTTTATACCCTCCACCATAAGTTGGAGTAATTAATTTGTAATTCCGTTTGCAACACCACGAAATATTCACCGGAGGCCCCAAAGAGTATATATATTCTTGATCTTGAATAAAATTGTACCTCAATAGATAAACGAGTTTGCAATATTTAAGGCAGAGCTCTGAAATTTTGCACAGACATTCCCAGTATTCCTATGATGTTTGGTATTGCAAATGCAGATTTTGAAAACGTTGGCTTTAATTTGGTATTTCGGGTTATCATTGTATAGCACATCCGTACCAAAAATTATCAATATTGACCCACGTTTCAACGTATCCCCCATGTAACGGTACCTCCCACTTTCCAGAATTTTGTAATGTTTGGATACGTTTTTCCATCCGAATTGGCAGTAATTTTGTATTTATACCCTACACAACTATGTTGTCTGGGTATTATAGCTTTGTGCAGCCCCAAAAGTTTGTAACGCCGCGAAATATTGGTCCTAGACCCACCTTTAAATATACCGATCGCCATATCTCGACTAGCTGAGTCGATCTAGACATGTGTGTCCGTCCGTCTGTCCATTATAATTTGTAAACACGATACAGGCCACAGTTATGGACCAATCTTCACGAAATTTTGCATGTAGGATGGGTTCTGGCCAAGGAAGACCCCTATTGTTTTTGGGAAAGATCAGTTAATATTTAGGGGATGGAATGGACCAAATACTAAATTTTTGTCGGTTTTTCTGGTCGCTCCAGAGGCCGCAATAATGGCCCGAACATCGTAAGAAGGGGATCGGGCCAAAGAATAAGCATACCGGTTTTGATAAAGATCGGTCAATATTTAGCGGGTCAAATGGACCCTGACTTTTGTGTTAAAAAGGACAAAATTTGTATTCTATAGCGCATATATTTACCCCTGAAGGACATAGACCCGAAAAGTTTATATTATATCCAAGAGGAGTGGTTGCCCTTTAAATTAATACCAATTATATTTTTGTATGTGCTCGGATGTGGGAGTTATACCTAAATATTTACAGATATTTCCGTATTTGTATATTATTTAGTAACCCATTATCACTCTAGAAAGGGGAACTATAGCGCAGATCGCTGTGAAATGTTCCATGAGGTTCCAGTTATGGTCAAGGACAACGCCTATAATTTTCTTTGATGATCAGATAATAATTTTGCAATGAAGTGGGCCGAAAACTTAATTCTTTGTGTTATTTTCGAGTCGATCTATAGACCACAAATGAAAGCCGAACATGACAACACAACCCACATTAAAGGGAATCTGGACAATAAATGTACTGAATACTCGTAATAATCGGAAAATATGTCAGTGTGAGGAAGAGGTGCTGTTTACCTCTAATCGGGCAAGATGGTTCAAATATCACGAAATATTGCCCAGGCTCGGAATAAACATCCGCAGAAAATTTGAGTTCCGTGGTAGTTGTGTAGGGTATCGTATGGTCGGCCCCGTCCGACTATACTGCTCCGCTCACTGGTTTTTATATATTTTTTATTATATTTTGCGTTCTCATTGTATAGCACATCCGTACCAAAAATTATGAATATTGTTCCAAGTTTCAGGGTAGCCCACATATAACGGTACCATGAGTATTCTAGGTATTTTGGACACATTTTCCAAACGAATTGGCTGTAATTATATATTTTGGGTTCTCGTTGTGTAGCACATTTCTGTACCAAAAAGTATGAATATTGACCCAAGATTCAGGGTATGACCTGGGAGTACTGTTACAGTGTTCGGTATTCTAGAGATTTTGGACACGTTTTTCAACCAAAAAAAAAACAATATTGATCTCCGTTTTATAATAGCCCG